TCTCCAATCCCCTCCTGGCCAGTGTCCTCCCCCCCAGTCTGAGATCAAGTGTGTTTGATATTTTTTTGAAACCATCTGGTAACCCTATTGGAAACAGTAAAGTAAGTTCTCCTATGGCTGGAAATCGAGCCTGGTAAAGCCAGGGCCATGCAGTTCTTTAAACTTAAGACGTATTGCTAATCAGCATAGCACTTGCTGTGTACCCAAATCTCTGTTCTTATATGTTATGAGCAGACAGACATCTGACACTGAAAATCATGTAGCCTTAACTCAGCAAATTTTCTAGTCTACTTAGGACAGGGCTGAGGAAGATGTCTGCCTAACACTTTGAACCAGCCCGCGGACTGCATCTGGCTGCTTTCTATTTAAATCCTGCTGCCCATGCCACCAAATTTCCAGGCGGTGGCTCATACAGCAGGATCCTATTTAAATGGCTTATGGCTTCCAGTCATAACATTACCCCACCATGGGCCAGAGCTGCATGCCCTTTAAATAGCCACTGCAACCCCGGGCGGCTGGCAGGCAACGCAGTAGCAGCAGGGCCAGGAGCCGGGAGCTCTTTGATGCATTTTTATTTCACAACCTCTGGTCCCAGACAACTCTGGGGGGAGGCTAGTCCCCAGCCCTGCCCCTTTTGCCACAGGCACCGCCCCTTCCATGGGTGGAGCTGGCCCATGACCATATACCAAAATTCATTAAGTAGCCCCCCCTGCAAAAATTATTGCCCACCCCGACTTAGGACATTACTACAGCTGACCCTTATTTCACCAAATCTCTAAAAGATTATTCTGTTGTCTGTCATGCCCTATGAGTTCTGCAGTGGCCAGTTAGATTTCTGAGATGCCTGGGAATCCTTCCCAGCCCATTGCCAAGGAGAAGAATTCTCTTACTGTAGCAGAAGGTGACTAGGAAGCCTCCGTTATGGAGGGCTAGAGGAGTCTCTTCTATTGGAATGTTCAAGAAAATTGGAGTGTTCTCTCTTCTTTCCTTTGATTAAAAAAAAAAGTCCAGATTTTTAATTTACTGCCCTTTACTCAGCCCTACTTCTATCCTTATGACCACACAAATGAGACCAAAGCCTGAGGCCTTAATTCTCCATTTCAGCCCCTTTAAATTAACACCAAGTGGATATCCCCAAAGAAGAATTTCCCTTCTCCAATTTTCACCACATAGGAATATGCAAGAGTTAGGAGTTTGTGGCCACAAACCATTGTGCTCTCTAGCTAGTCTGGGCTAGCAGAGTGGCTTTTGAGACCCAGGATTCAGCAGATAGTGCAAAAATGCTATTGTTGATTTGTTTTCCCACTCTTCCCCGTCCCAGGCTGGGTCTCCTGAGGCTGAAACTTGGAATTGGGGACTAAGCATAATTTTCTTCCCTTAGATTTTGAAAGCTTTGTTCTACCTGCATTTTAGTCGTCCGAGTGTTCGGACAAGTAGGTGAATGGGGCAAATAAATTGGACAGGTCCACAGATTGAAGGAGTGTGACCTGTGTAGAAAATAAGGGACAAGCTGGGACAGATAGCAGAAATGCATTCTGCATTGGATTATCCCTACTGCAACCTTTCTGAGTTCTGTTGGCCAATGTGAAATAAGCTCTAGGGTGGGATGAGGTGAGATGACTGGAGTGGCGCTGGAGCTGGAGGCGTTATCTGATACTCTGTATGTGCTATTTGTTGTGACTTGTTTTTTCACCTTCCTGTTAGAAAATCCGTGTACGTTTTGTGACGGGAGCTGGGTTCTATATGGCATCAGGGAAGATCAAAGGCACCTTGGCCTCCCGGTTCCTGATGGTTGATGGTGAAAAAGTGGCCACTGGGTCCTACAGGTGGGTCATTCACCCAGGACATACCCATGTTCCTTGTATAAGGTCTATCCCATCCTTTACCTCAGGAAGGAGGGGACCAGCCTCCTTCCTTTTATCTCCCCTCAGTTGTCCAGTCCGTTTCCTAGCTAGGCAGATGTCCAGCTGAACTTTTTGTAGAAGTCTCATGTTTTGGGACAGAGAATCTCTGTGTCAACAGAACATTCCACTGAGTGAAAGAATTTCTCCTCCTCGCCAGCCAATGGCCAGTTGGGATTCTCCACTGTGGCCTGTTTCCTATCTAGAAGAGGTTGGAAAGGTAGTAGAGAGAGACTTCCTGCCAATTCAACAACAGTAGTTTGTGTGATTTCCGGTGTCCTTGTTTAGACAGGGGAACTGTACTTTAAGGTCACACAGCTTTCTCTGCCAGATTTGTCCATATGTACAACAAAGAACAGATTTTAAAACATATACACCACCACATGTTTTTGAATGCTGAGAGTTCTGAGGTGGTCATTTGGGGGTTGGAGAGGTGTCAGGTCTCCCTATCTCAATGCAAAAATCTAACAGGGATTTCTTCACTCCTAGCTTCACTTGGAGCTCATCCCACATTGACAGAAATATCCTCCTGTTGTTGACGGGGCAGAACATGGAAATGTTTGACATCGAGTTTCGTGAACTCTATGCCATCTCGGAGGAGGTCAATCTCTACAAAGAGCTGAACATTGCTAGCCCTTTTCTTTCAGGAGCTGGGAATTTGGAGCTTCGCTTCTCCACCGTGTCTCGTAAGATGATCAACCCCAAGTATGGGCTAGTGACAGGGGCTGCCCCTGGTGAAATGTTATTCTGGGCTTCGCGTCAGAAGGAGCAGGCACAGGGGAAATTGGAAGGGAATGAGGAGGAAAGTGAGTCAAATAAACGGCTGAATCAGTTTCTGAACGACTTGATCACAGTGGAGCAGGAGCTACCAGAAATTCTGGGAGGAAAGTGAGTCAAATAAACGGCTGAATCAGTTTCTGAATGACTTAATCACAGTGGATCAGGAGCTACCAGAAATTCTACCACCTCTTGAGAACTTGAACCGAAGTCCCAGTAAATGGTTCTCTTGGTTCCATCGGAAAAATAAAGCCAGGGAGTCTGTTCACAATACCAAGAAGGACGATGGGGCTGGCAGCTCTGTTGCTAATGGGGAAGCCAGCTTCACGAAGGGTAAGAGGCATGGCAGTGGGTTTTTCAACAGGAAGACTAAACAGCCCCCACTATTGGACACTGAGGGCAATACTTTTGCCAGTAAATGGCTCCAGTCGAAGACGCCAGATGAAGACGAGATCAGCTTCAACATTCGCAATAGCAGGGGCACCTCAGGTAAGCCTCCTTCCCCATACTTCCCCTCAGTTCCTCCAATCCAGGTACTAAAGGACAGCTTCAGCAATTTCTTTTCCTCTCTGCCTTAAAATGACAAGGAGAGCAATTGAGGCCAATGAAACAAAATAATCTTGCAGGTATTTTTAAGGGAAAATGTTGTGAGACTTGTACTTTTCATTGTGACTTCCTTTTAGAGTCTCCAGGTGGGGAGGGAGAACTTCTCTTTCATTTCCCCTCTTCCCCATGTAAAAAAGTTCCAGGTGCTTGGCTTCCAATGTGGAAGCAGTGAATAGTGGTTCATTTCCCTCCTTGTGCTCGCAGAGATGCTTGTGTTGTATTTTAGAGACTCTGTGGACAGTGTTCAATTGCAGAAACAGATTTCAGATGTCTCCTACCATCTGACCTACTCAGCTTTATTTGATTGGTTATGAGTTGCTATGACAATGTCATGAGGGGAGAGAAGACAGAGTGGGTGATTCCGACAAAATATCCTTCTCCATCCTCCCTATCCAACAGGGGGGAGAACATCATGGAATTAGAAGCTCGAGCATTAACACAATATTGCCATGCTTGGTGCTTGTGACATATCCTTCTGTGGCTTTGTCCAGGTTAGTTTTCAGTGACTCAGGTGAATTCAAAACTGGCAAATACCTTTCACACATTAGCTTCTGAATGGTTTGGATGTTGTCAGACTGTCAGACAACTGTAGACTATCCAGGCAAGTGACCTATGCTCAGTGCAAAGCCAGAACATCTCTTAGAGGAAAAAATACATTAGGGCAGTGGCCCCCAGACTTTTTTGGTTATATCATCCCACCCTCCCTTTCCCCAAGACATAGTCAAGGGATGGAGCTGGGAGCAGGGTTGGAGCTGTGGGTAGGGGCCATGGCTGTGAACAGAACTGGAGTCAAGCTAGGGGCACTCCTTCCTCACCCTTGTGGGGGATGCCCTAGAGGCTCTGCCACATTCCCCCTGACTCTGCCCTCCTAGGGGTGGAGCACCCTATAGTGTGGGGAGCACTGCCTTAGAGGTATAATTTCTTCCTGACCCATTTTAACCAGGAAAACAATGAGTAGTCCTGTGGCACCTTAGGGTATGTCTACACTACCCCGCTAGTTCGAACTAGCGGGGTAGTGTAGACATACCCTCAGAGACTAACAAAAATACATGTAGTATCATGAGCTTTCGTGGCCAGAACCCACTTCTTCAGATGAGCTTGAGATCTTACCCAGAAATCATTTTATACTCAAAAGAATATGAAATGTCACATGCAGTGTGAGGAGGAGGAGGGGAGATTTGATAAGCCTGAAGTCAGTTTGAAAAATGTAAAGAGACTTTCGGGAAGAAAATGAGGAGGGTATTAAGGAAAAAGAGATGAAATTAAAAACCAGCCATGAGCTGGATTCTTAGAAATATTTCTAGAGAGAGAAAAAGAGAGAGAATTAAATCCCAAAGCTATTTAAAGATTAAAACAAGTGTCAGATAGTCTAATCTGGATCACAATAGATTCATTCTAGAGGACACCCTGAGAAGTTGGGAATAAGCCCTCTGCTCCCCCATACCTAGCGACAGCATATTGTCTGCACAGGTGGTTTGTGCTGTTAGGTCCCTTTCCACTGAGGAATAAAATTTGTATAGGGATCAGATGGGTTGACTTAAGGGCTTATAGTACCCTCTAGTGACAAAACTAGAGAACAGTTGAGTCTGTTTTCCTCACATGTCTGACTAACAAGGCAATTTAAGGTGGTAAAGCCTCCATATTTCTACCCCCTGTCTCTAGATGTTGTAAAATAGTTCTCTAACCACCCTGTCCTGTCCATATGTTATGTCAAAAAGAGGTTGTTATCTTTCTGAGGCTTGAGCTATGTCTTCCTATCAGTGCTGTAAGTCACCTGCCACAATTTGGGGTAACATATAAATAAGGAGCTGGTAAAAAGGAAACTCACTCACAATTTATACTTTGTATCAGTTTATAAATTAAATGCAGCAAAAACCTTAGAAACCTAAAGTCGACAGTGAACCTAGAGAGCATGTGGGTGGCCTACATTTTGAAGTTTGGAAGAGGGCTGGGAGAGTAGGGCAGTCACACAAAAGTACAAACTTCCAGGTGGCATTGTGCTGCTGGGCTTTTCTACCTCTGCTCTGATTGGCTGGCCTTTTTGTTTTGGCTTGGTGGCTGGTAGTGGCTGGCAAAATAGCTGGTCACTCCTGCCTGTGGGTGTCTTATTTAGATTTATACAAATACTAAAGAGATGCTGGTTTAAAAGTGTAGGTGAGCCTGACACCACAAAAGTGGGTGCAAGTGAATGTAAGTGAGTCTGAATATAAAGGTGCAGCAGGGATATAACTTAAGCGTTGCCTTTGAATTTGGACCACAGTTCCTGCACCAGGATGCTTATAGTCAAAGAACTTGATCTTACAATCTTTAACCAGTGAGGTTACTCAGAGTGAGATTCAGGTCCCTCAATAACACTTGAGAAGTGGGGATGAGGGACAGAGAAGAACCAGGGGTACGTTAATAAGATCATGTGGTTGCTTTGTTAGTAACATGCTGCATGAGAGTTCAGTGAAAGTTCTTAGGCCTGGATGTGGAGTGGCATTCATGCTTCTTCAATAAAATGTGAAGCATTTCCTACCATTCACATAACATTGGTACTAGCTTCAGCTTGATGTAAGCCTAAGTGGAGAATACTGCTGTGTTTTTGAGGCTGGGATACAAGAGATGCTTTGAATGCAGTTAGGTGCAGTTATCCAAAACTTCATATTTTGAACTGGATTCTTTTACTTTTTAAAGATTCACAGAAGCATGCATTAACTCTGTGGGCTTATCTATTGTGACAGGGTCAGGCCAGAAGGGTACACGAGAGTGATCTTTTTGGAAAACCAAGAGGGACTCTTCCTCGGAACCCAGGAAACCAAATGATTACAGGAGACAAATAAACAGGGCTAGGTGTGAAAGTCACACAGAAGAACTGACTTCCAGAAGGTGCCCAGGTGTTAGCCCCCTCACATCTAAAGGACCTCCCCTCAGCCTATGGGGAGGGTCCATAGAGCCCAATGTTAGCCCCCTCACATCTAAAGGACCTCCCCTCAGCCTATGGGGAAGGTCCATAGAGCCCAGAATACCAAATAATTACTGGGGACAAATGAAAAAAAAAAAAAAAACAGGGACAGGTGTGGAGGTCATTGAGTCAAAACAAGGGAGCTGGATGGGGACACTGAGCAGAGAACCCTGGACAGTGCCTAGTGCCCCTTGAAAGTCTTGAGAGAGCAAGCGGATGCCGCCCAGTGGAACTCTGCCCAGATGTGTGAATGGATGCAGGAGCAGAAATAGGCTCCATAGTCTCAAGCACCTCCCTCAGCCAACCTCTGTTCCCTCATACAGGAGAATGGTAGAAGAGAAGTATATTGGCTCTAGATCCGTGAGTCCAACATGCTAGTCACTAGCACATGTGGCTGTTTGGCCAGTTGAGTGTGGCTAGTTGGCTTGAACAATGTGGCTATTTGGCCAGTTGAGTATGGCTAGTTCGCTATAGTAGTACCCACCATAGTGGTCACTGCTTCAGAACTAGTTGGACACCATTGCTCTAGATTGAGTAAGTCTCTGTTCCCAGGATAAATTAACAAGAGCTAGTCCAGAACCAGCAGAAGTCGCCAGCATCAATCAGGGCAATTAAGCACCTCAAGCCAATTGGGAGGTTTCCAGAGTCATGTGAGTCAGACAAGCCAGAACACCTGGTGCCAATTAAGAACAAGTTAAAACGGGTTAAAAAGAGCTCCTCTTCAGTTAGTTCAATGCAGTGAGGAGCTTGAGGAGAGAAGGAATTGTAGAGAGTCTCAGAGGAGAAAGTGAAAACCAGTAGCAGGAGGAAGAATCTGCAGGAAGGAAGGTGCTGGGGAAGGCTGTTAGGAAGTGGCCCAGGGATTTATAGCTGTCACAAAGCTGTTGCTGGAGTTATTTCAGACAGTTGCTATCACAGGGTCCCTGGGCTAGAACCCACAGTAGAGGGCAGGCCTGTGTCCACATGCACACCAACTCCCATTTCAGTACTAGAAAGAGATTGGCTTTAGTACAAGGGTTTGTCCTACCCTGTACTACTTGGAGGGGCCACAGAGACTATGAAGTTTGGTTTCCCCTCTGGTTCCCATGCTGGCCAATGATGCTGTTTGCTGAGCTACTCTCAAGCTGGTGTCTAAATTGAGGGCTGCTATGAGTCTCTGAGGCAAGTAATCCGCCTGAAAATGTGGGACCCACCAAGATTGAAGAGGAGTTTTGTCACACTATGGATGCGCACATCCTTTAAAGTAGCTATTAATTAATATTTAAATGTAGAAACAAATACATTGAAAGACCAGATTCCCATTGCTTTTGTTAGTCACTTGGAGTATGTCTACACTGCCACCCCAGTTCGAACTAGGGTGGCTAATGTAGGCATTCAAAGTTGCAAATGAAGCCTGGGATTTAAATATCCCGGGCTTCATTTGCATCTTGCCGGGCGCCGCCATTTTTAAATCCCCCTTAGTGCGGACTCCATGCCCGCGGCTACACGCAGCATGGAGTGGGTAGTTCGAATTAGGCTCTCTAATCCAAACTACTGTTACTCCTCGTTGAATGAGGTGTACCGGTAGTTCGGATTAGAGAGCATAATTCGAACTACCTACTCCGTGCCGCGTGTAGCCGCGGGCACGGAGTCCGCACTAACGGGGATTTAAAAATGGCGGCGCCCGGCAAGATGCAAATGAAGCCCGGGATATTTAAATAACCCGGGCTCCATTTGCAACTTCGAATGCCTACATTAGCCACCCTAGTTCGAACTAGGGTGGCAGTGTAGACATACCCTTCCTGTCCTAGCTGCTGTCAGTCTGTGGCCCAGGCTCAGTCAACAGTAAGAGTAGACAGTGAAGAAGGGAGAGAAGTAAGCTTTGTGGCAGGGCTTGAAAAACCGTACTGGCTGTTTACATTCCAGAAGATTGTACCATAATTAGATACAAAATGTGTGGGTTGTAGAGTTCTCACCAGTGAAGACTGAGGGGACAGGGGGCAATACCCTGATCAAAAGCCTAGCCTCCACTTAGTGGGATTTCTGTGAGGGTGATTTCCCAGTATACTGCTTGAGGACTCATTTTAATGAAAGTGTTGTCCCTGGATCTTGAGGAGCCTCCCCCAGTAGTATCTTTTGTATTGAACAAAATACATCTTGTTTAGCTATCTACTGCCTAAGGAGGATAGGGTAGTAAAGGGTACAGACATCCAGGAGGAGTGGGAAAGAAGGAAACTGTTCAGGGTAGCGGCCAGGCGACGATAAGGAGTAATGGGACGAAACTCAGCACATGACTACTTAGGCTGGATATCACACTTAACTGTGGGGTTATTACATTCTGAATTAGTCTCAAGAAAAGTTATATAAGCCCCATCACTCTGGACCTTTGAAGCTAGGGTGAGTAATATACTGCAGAACATATTGTAGGGACTAAGGCTGCACTGCTCAGGTGAACAAGCTGACCCAATAACCTTTTTTCATCTTTTAACTCTTTGAAAGCATTCCAGGCAAACAATTACCAAGTTTGGCCTTTCTTGCCTTCTGTGAGCTGAAGAGACCATAGTTCAGTCTGTCATGCTAACAGGCCAAGAAATACAGCTTGTATCTTTCATTGCCATAAACTTTTGTCACCTTTTGTTTCTGGAGTCTGCTTTTGTTTTTGTTTGTTTGTTTGTTTGTTTGTTTGTTTGTTTGTTACTCGTGATTTCAGAGTTAGCAAGTAAGATGGGTCCTTCCCACCCCTTGAGGCGTGAATGTACATTTAAAATGAGCAATATAATGAGGGAGAGTTGAAAGTGTGTGCCGAAAGTTTTATTACACTTTTTTTTTTACCTTTTTATTACAGGTAAAGTGAACCCAAACTGTTCCCCAGGGGATAAAGCCAAACAGTCAGCCTGTGTGATGTCTTGATTTGGAAATAATGTCAGGACAATTGAATACCTCAAAAGTGCATTTGATGGACTTCATGATTTTTAACCCTTTTAAAACCTGTAGAATCATTCTCTCACAAATGGTTTCAAACCATTGTTATGTCCGGGATGCAGTTTGTACCTCCAGTGAATTCACATGTGCTGCATAAAGTATAAAAAGGTTGGTGGTTCTTCGGTGAGAATTCGCAGTGACAGTTTAAAAGTCAATATTTAATTGTGATAATAATAAAGTATAAAAAGGTTGGTGGTTCTTATGTGAGAATTCACAGTGACAGTGTAAAAGTCAATATTTAATTGTGATAATTGGAATGCTGAGCTAAGCCTGCATTGAAATGAATGCAGCAGAGCTTCCCACTTTTTAATGCTGCTATTTCAGTCTGTCTAGCTATGGACGCAAAAGGACAGCATTGCATCACTTGGGAGAAGACTGTGAAATCTGCAGCTCATGTAGATTTTCTTAGTCCATGGATTTCTATAGATTTCTATTATGAGCAGGGACAGCTAGAAGATTCAGAGTTGAAGAAGGTGGATTTGGCTGGAAGAGACCAGGGGCTTAGTATATTAGCCCTTTTCTTCATGTCATAAAACTTAACAATTAAGCAGAATGATATAGTAATTTCCCATCTGGAGAAGACAAGGTTTGGAATGTAAGGGAATGCTTCAGACTAAGATCGAAGCACATTCTTATGTTGTGTGGGGTACCAGACCTGAGACAGCAAGGAGTGCTGCAAGATTATACAAGGCCATGGGAGATGATATACACCGTAAAATCAACTGAAACATAAATTCCCTGACATCTTGCTCTTAATGGAAAGTGAGTAAATAAAGGAGGCACATCTTGAAAAGATGAAAGATGGGTGAACGTTTCAAACGTCTAACTTGCTTCCCATTTTTAGTTAAACCTCCCCCTTCCAGAATAAAAATCAAGGTCTCATCCCATAAATATATGGAGACATCAGTTCTTGTGCACAACTCGACTGGATTCATTTGATATTTGGACTAGCATTTTGTCCTGCTGCGTGGAGTGAATTTTTGCCATGATGATTACCACAATATGCTACCTTCAACAAAGCCTCGATGATTTTTTTTGAAGGAAAATACATCATAATGATAAATAACTACCTAAATACAAACAATATGTTTGTACTAATATGATATTGAACACAGCAAAGATAATATGGTTTAATTAAAGAAAATGAACAATTGATAACATCAGTTAGTTGTCTCCTGCTTCCAGCCAGTGCCCTGCTTTGATGTTGCTTGTTGTAACAGATTTTAAAATGAACAATTGATAACATCAGTTAGCTGTGTCCTGCCTCCAGCCAGTGCCCTGCTTGGATGTTGCTTGTTGTAACAGATTTCCTCCTGTCAGTAGGCCTGGTTCTCAAATATCATGTTGGTAAGTTTGGAATAAGAACATGACTAGGATTCTGTCTCTCCCTACTTTTTATTTATAGGGCCAAGAAACAGTCATGTGCTGCTATACTGGGCATGTGCAGTATATTTAATATCAATAACAAATGAACTGCTTCTGCTGCTGAGCATGCTTGCAAGAGCCTTGCTTGACCTTAAGGTGGCCATTGTATCTTTCCTTCTTTCTATTGGATATGCTTACTCCAATGTGAGTTGACAAAGTGGTTGCCAGTCAGTATAGCCAGCCTGGGAACAGATGATATCCCTTAAACTGGTTCAACCAACTCCAACCTGTGGTTGCCAGTCAGTATAGCCAGCCTGGGAACAGATGGTATCCCTAAAACTGGTTCAACCAACTCCAGCCTAACAGCAGCTCTTTATAAAATTTCCCCTCTCCAGTAACACAGTAGGGGCTTACACTATCCCTTAAACAAGTGAATAACTTCATACATGAGTAGTCCTACTAAATTAAGCAGGGATACTCATATATGTATTTCCAAGATTGTTAGACAGGCTTGCTCTTTATAAATTGAGGTGGCTTAGTTTGTCTTGGTTCTGTTATCCTCCTATTTGTTTGGAGTTTGTTTCTCTCCTTACTTGTATTTGTTTAACTTCAATCTCTGATAAAATAATTGGTTAACCATGGCCAGGATTGCTCCTCATATCCTTTTTCTAATTGGACAGACAGTTGTCTGGCTTCAATCTTCTGGTGTTTCCCTGTTCTCCATGACAAAGTATTGTATTTTTTTTAAATGTGGTTTAATAATAAATAGACTAGCTGATTCACCTAACCTGATGATTTAAATAGTCTTGCATGTGGTTTTAATCAATATGTTGTAAAGGTCTTCATTACAATCCACATCTTTCTCTGATTAAGACAGACTTTAAAAATCAATACCTCAGTCATTCTTTTGCTGTTTAATTTAATTCCTGCCTCACTTATTAATAGACTGACTGAATTTCTCTTCAGTACTACTTTCCCCCACTGATATAAAAACTCTTATTTCCTTTAACCTCAGTAACTAGCATAAAAGGGATCATTTTGTTTTGCTGTACTTATTTTTCACTGTAGTTCTCATTTCCTTGTCCTTTTTTTGTTGTCACACCCAGCTTCCACATATAACTTCTTGGTCTGTTTTTCTTCCAGTTTTTAGTAGCCTCGGGAATTTGTTTTATGCCTTATCTCTGGTGTTTGATAGGACTCTACAGCCTTATTACACACAACTAGATTTTAATTATATTTATTAGATTTCCTAATTTTCACTAAACTTGCTGTTTTGCACTCTAATGCTGCATCTTCTGAACCCATTCCTGAACAACTTCAGTGGAATGTTTCTGGGATGCAGATAGCCCAACAGATCCTTCTCTCAAATGCATAGTTGAATGTTTCAGTCTGCTAGTTTACTTATCTACACTACACATAAGTCTGGTTGTTCCCATAACAATAAGTCCGTGCATGGGTGGGATAATCATGATTTATTTTGACCAAGCCTATTCACTATGGTTCATATTCACAAAGTGCCTGCAACTTTTTAAATGATCGATGCTCTTCTCATGGGTAACATATAATTGCGGGGGCAGGAACATGCAAAAATAGTCAGCACTTTGAGGGAGGGCAAGGTGGAGGCAGTCCTCAATGAACCTTGGTTGAACCTAGGCTGGGATCTTGCCCAATAAGCAATCTTCTGATGCTGATATTGGCAATTAGAACCGTGTGTCTAAACTTCCGTTTTGGGAAGATTACTTGAAGATTGAGAGGAAGCAATTCTTAACGCTTCTTGGAAAAACTTTTCTTGACCTCAGTGCCTCAACTCTGGAACTTGCTTCCCCTTTGGTCCAGCAGAGCCAAAGTTCACTGACTTTCCTGGCACATCATGAAGCCTATCTTCATGCACAGACTTTTGCCATGGGATGACAAGGTTTGTGTGCGTTCTCTTTTCTGGAGGAGATAGAGTCCTCTGGTTAACATTGTACACATTCATTGTCCATATTTGTGTCTTTAATGAATACATGTGCCAAAGAACCATGAAAGATGACTTTTATAAATCAAATAAATTCTTAACATGTTACATTCAGGTAGTTTGTCGTCTTTGGTGTAGTCTCTCAATTTCAATAACTTCTTTTTTATGCTTTGATCAATTTATGCTGGAGGTTTTGGTTAGTTTTTGTTTCCTGCCCCCCAACATCTTTTCCACCTATTACGGCTACTTTCTTGAATCACATTTTAGAAAAACTCCATAATATTCTCCAAACTGCACTGAGGGAGAAAAAGCAGCTGTGTAAGTATCTGATAAAACTGTCCTGTAGTGTATTATTGCACATACGTTATACAGATAGCCATTATAACTACAGACTGTATATGAATTGTGTATTAGTGCCTCCAAGGTATGAAGGTATCTGGAATAGCTATGCAGTTTCCCGTGTGGTATTCTACCTCAGGCAAGTGAGAATTCACTGTGAACATGTACCCCTGTCATGTGTTACTGTCAGCATACATCTAGTGTTGAAATCAGTTATAAATTTGTTTCCAGGATTTCTTTTTTAGATTCTAACCTTATTCCCAAAGGATCTCTTCCCCTCCTTGCCCCTTTGTTAGAAATTAGACTTGTATTCTGTGCAATATAGGAAGATCTTTGACCAGGAGCAGCCCGAGGCCGGCTGCAGCAGCTGGCGCCATAGGTGGGGCAGTGCAATCGCCGCCCCTGCCTGCAACGCCGTCAATGGCCATGATGTCATCATGGGGCGCCTGGAGCAGCGGCGCCCTATCTTTGGCAGATGTTTGGCTGTTTCTGTTAATGGATGTCTGAGCAGTTAAAATTCCCCATGAGTTCAATCCCCTGTGGTTTTGAGTACCTTGAGAGTTGCTCCATAATTTTTTCCTTCTTGTTCTTTTCTACTTGGGTTAGCTGAAGTGGCAAATGCCCACTTCAGATTTTTGGGGTTTTTTTTCCTTTTCCATGCTGCTCTCTTCATGACTGAATTATATGTTGCTGCTGTTGTAAATACTCTTGACAAAGTGCTATCTATCCTTCCTTCCCTGTCCCTCTCCTATGTAATTTGTACCCATAAGTAATGATGCTTGAGAGCAATCACCCCATTGCCTTTCAGCTATGTTTAAGTAACTCTTCTTCCTCATGACATGCTTTTTTGTGTGTACGTGAAATACTCTTTTTAGCCCTGATCACATTTTGCAATGATTCTATTGCGTCTGATTTCAGCATGTTGAAGGATATGAAAAACTACTTGAGGTAAGCAGGGCCGGCCCGAGCCATTCTTGCACCATGGGCAGCAGGCACATGGTGCATGCGCAGCCCTGCCCCGGGCGCACGGCACCTGATTGACGTGTACGGGGGGGCAGTGGGCACACAACGCATGTGCAGCTCCGTCCCCGGGCGTGCGGCGGCCCTTACCACTTCAATCAGGCGCCCCCCCATAGATTGGCGACCCGGGCAGCTGCCCGGCTAACCCCTCCCCCCTTAATCCAGCCCCGGAGGTAAGCAAAAGCTCCTCCCTTAGTCACCTGTGTTTTAAAGCCTTCTTAGCAATCACTGCCAATTCATAACTTAGGCACTGTGCATTCCTTTTGTTGAAGTGGCAGTAGTTTCACCAGTTATTTTTCCTTTTATTCCTCAATCCTAATACAATTATTGGATTCTCCTCCCCCCAAATTTCCTTAAAACTACATGGGTGCACTCATGTAATCAGTGAGTGTTCCAGGAGCTAATGACCCCTTTGTGTCACAAGACCCTATTTGTCCTCAGTCTGCAAAGGAATGCAGGATTCCTCCATAGTGAGAGATTTGGGAAAATCAGGATCAGAAGTGGTAGGAGGCCCAGGATGGAGAAACCTACAGCTTTAGCTTTAGCTGGCAGGCCTTTGCCTAACTCTTAGCGCAGGTCTAATTTCTGATCTTCGTTTTAAGTCACAACCTCTTAATGTAGTTATCCTCCAACAGCTGTTTGATGGAGGGAAACATTATTATCCCCATTTGACAGATGGTAAACTGAGGTGCAGAGATTAAGAAGTGACTTGCCTAAAAGTCACACAGGAAGTCCCCATCAGGCAGGAAATTAAAAGTAGGTCTTCTATGCCCTAGACTAATGCCCTAACCTCTGAACTAGCTTTCATCCAGAAGTAGGAAAGCTCCAACATACAGGCAGAAAGAAACTTGCATGTGTCTGAGCCTGGCCCTGACACTCAACAACAATGATTAAGGATGCCTGTGTGCCAAAAAAGGGTGTGGGATAACTGCATGGGTCAGCAGAATTGCTGGTATCCCAAGTCAGACGCTTTGTTCGTTTAGGAAACTTCCAAAAACAAACCCTGTGTGTGGGTGTTATTTGTAGCTAGATTAAATTCATGGTATCTGAGATTCCTATAGGGCAAGATAAAAGGGTCTAGGATAAATGTCTCAGATAATTTCAGTAGGGCAGAGCTATGAATCCCATTTCTATATTAGGATTGGGTTCTGTTTGTCTAAAAAATTCAGATCTAAGTGAACAGTAAAAGCTATTTTCCTTATTATATCTTCCTCTTTTTACTTCGCTAGGGCCATGTCTTCACTACAGAGAAGATCAAAGCAGACGATCTTCCGGAGTTTGAATTAGTGGGTCTAGTGAAGATGCACTAATTCGAATGGAGAGGACACGCCTGTTGATGCTGGTAGTCCTGCTTCTACGAGGAGTAAGGGAAGTCAAAGGGAGAGAATGTGCACCCTTTGACTTCTCACAGTGTGGATGGCGCCAAAATTCAAGTTAAGATACTTCGACTTAAGCTACTCAATTAACATAGCTGAAGTTGTGTATCTTAATTCAAACGTATCCCCTAGGGTAGACCAGGAGTGGGAAAGGAAGGACTG